TCACTCAAAATATCAAATCAATACCAAACTCACCCAAAAATACTAAATAGCAGAACCTTTGAAAATTATTAAGAAATGTCCGATTACCAGAGAATATCAAAACAAAAACCGAATGATAAATAAAATAAATACCACAAATTGATGTGATTGTTTTGGTGATCAACTGAACCTTTCCAGATCGCGAGAATCAGTCAATGCTGATCACCGGTGAATCTGGTGCAGGTAAAACCGAAAACACAAAGAAAGTAATTGCTTACTTCGCAATTGTTGGCGCAAGTCAACAAGGCAAAGAGGAGGGTGCCAAAGGAGTGAGTCACTTCAATCGTTCACTGCAATGATCCAAGGATATCTTGAGACTAGACTCAGCTGGATTCAACTTTAGTTCCTCGATGCCACACACTCTTTTTACAATCCAAACTCAAAAATCACCTCAAAGAAATAGAATTTCAAGCGATACGTTATTGTTTCCATCTTTTCCGATAACGTTAACCATTTTGATCAATACAGAGCGATAACTATTCGATCAGTCTCTGCTAAGCACCACTGAAATAATCAAAAACGATCAGTAGAAAAGATTTGTGACTGTTCAAAGAATATATCCGAAGTTAAAAATTGTCGTTTGGAAATATTACTGAAAAAACACCGAATCATGCACAATAATCACAAAATTTGAATGAATATCAGTCCACCTAGATATTTATACCTTTTACAGGGTACACTCGAAGAGCAAATCGTACAAACGAACCCTGTACTGGAAGCATTCGGTAACTTCTGATATCGATAATTTTTCTCGAAATTATGAATCCCCTCGTGATGAAATATTCTGCAAAAAGAGAAACTGGAGAGATTACTAGTGAAGATGTCTATTTGAGGAACAAGAAGATGCAAAAAGCTAAAAAAAAAAGAAGAACTTAAAGCAGAAGGAATAACTTCTGCAAAAAANTATTACCTAAGATAACCACTTACCTCGGTAATCCATACGTCTATCAGGTAATGCAAAAACCGTTCGAAACAACAACTCGTCACGTTTCGGTAAATTCATCCGAACACACTTCTCCAAGGATGGCAAATTGGCTGGTGGTGATATTGAACACTGTTAGTTAACCACATCAATTAACACTAACTATCACAAAAGACAATCATGAAATGACGGGAATTGACACTGGCGAACAAGCGATTTCTGCAAATTACTCTCGAAATTGAATGACGGTGATGAAAGTTAACTGAAAAGAAGTATTTTGGGCGATAAACTGAATATGGAATACACAGAAAGTGAATCGCTTGAATGTATAAGCAAAAGATTTACCAAAAAAATTCCTTAAGATTTACTGGAGAAATCTCGAGTGGTGAGGCAAGCGCCTGGCGAACGTAGTTACCACATTTTCTACCAAATGATGTCCGGCTATCATCCAAAACTTAAACGTATGACTTTCTAAAATTTCTTTCCTAAAGATATGAATAATGGATCAAAGTAAGAGAATATATAAAATCTAAAGAAACATTTCATTTAACGTAACCAATTTGATCACTAAACGCTCATCATGCTCTCTTCTACCTGAAATATTACCATTGATATAACTCCAAATCACTGAACTTCTGGTTTTTACAAACGAATTAAGTGATGACGATTCGATAAAGCGAATGCATCAATCGAAATTATGAATAAAATGAAACTTTCAGAGGAATTACATCTAACGAACGACCTGAAATACTACCACTTCTGCTCACAAGCTGAGCTCACCATTGATGGAGTTGATGACAAGGAAGAAATGGGTCTTACACAANTAGCTCTCCCTCATGCAGTTCGATAATCAGTCATAAATTCAGTTCCAAGACAATTTCAAAGGAGAATCTTATTTGAAGCGCTGATATGATATATGTACTGATTAGAATATCTTTCTGCGATAATTTCGGAGTATTGACAAAAAATCATACGTGATCAAGCTCAATTGAGGCCAGAAGTATATAGGATGTTGCCAGATATATTGAATTCTAATGAACTGCTACTAACCAACATATTTGATATTGAAGGAGGCGTTCGATGTGATGGGTTTCGAAGATATTGAAACGCACAATCTCTATGCCAGTACCGCTGGTATCATGCATATGGGTGAAATGAAATTCAAGCAACGTCCTCGCGAGGAACAAGCTGAACCGGATGGAGATGAAGGTCTCCAAGACGTTTTTGTTTTTCATTACTTACAATCCAACATTCGAAAACATTCACAGTTGACAAAGGCAAAAAGACCTGTCAATGAAATCTAAAATTTTTACTCGTAATTTTGACTACTTGTCGAGCAAAACCTAATTTATTGGATAAACTTAAAAAACTCATCTTCAGATGCCAAAAACGCTGGCTACTGTTTCGGCGTTGATGCAGACGAGTTCCTGAAGGCTCTCACTAAACCTCGTGTACGTGTCGGCACAGAATGGGTTAACAAAGGCCAGAATCTTGAGCAGGTAACCAAGCCGCCACTCCGAACGATAACTCAGATTCACTAGATCATCACAGAATGATAAAGAAATTCCTTCAAATCGATGTTGTACTTGCTAGAGTAAAAGTAATATTCGATGGAATTTAGGTGCATTGGGCTGTGGCCGGTTTGGGTAAAGCCATTTATGCGCGTATGTTCAAATGGCTCATTGATCGTTGCAATAAGACACTGGACGCGAAGAAGATCGAACGAAAATACTTCATTGGTGTGCTGGATATCGCTGGTTTCGAGATCTTCGATGTTCGTTCTATCATTCTGCCAAATTCTGATTTTTCACCCATACTCTAATGATCCATTACTCATAAATCTAACACAATAAGGCCTCTATCACGATTCGACGGATTCAATCCCAATTCCGATAAAACTCGAGACTTCATGACTTGAATCAGACTTCAATGCTTCATAATTTCACTCATCTCACTGATTATGGGTTTCATTCTCTGATCTACGCGAGATCACAACGGTTTGGGTAAAGCCATTTATGCGCGTATGTTCAAATGGCTCATTGATCGTTGCAATAAGACACTGGACGCGAAGAAGATCGAACGAAAATACTTCATTGGTGTGCTGGATATCGCTGGTTTCGAGATCTTCGATGTTCGTTCTATCATTCTGCCAAATTCTGATTTTTCACCCATACTCTAATGATCCATTACTCATAAATCTAACACAATAAGGCCTCTATCACGATTCGACGGATTCAATCCCAATTCCGATAAAACTCGAGACTTCATGACTTGAATCAGACTTTAATGCTTCATAATTTCACTCATCTCACTGATTATGGGTTTCATTCTCTGATCTACGCGAGATCACAATTGATTCAGTTACTCAGGATTGAGGAATCGCACGTCATTAAGTAATACTCTGAGTTAAATGATTTCAGTTCAATTCATTCGAACAGCTATGGATCAATTTCGTCAACGAACGTCTTCAACAGTTTTTCAATCATCACATGTTTGTTCTGGAACAAGAAGAGTACAAACGCGAGGGTATTCAGTGGACATTCATCGATTTCGGTCTCGATTTGCAAGCTTGTATTGAACTGATCGAGAAGGTTAACTCATTTCAGATTAGCATTATGATTACTGACAGGATTATTATTCTCATTGCGATCGCTATTACTACCATTTTGACTATCAGTCTTACCTTTATCAGAAGCTGTTATCACTACTTTATTAACAGCACGTTTAATAGCTAGAGAGGGAATATTCTGAACGAATCGAATACCAATAACCACTTAGCTCATATCAATTCATAACTTAAAAAATATGAATTCTAATGATGTTACAGCCATTGGGTATAATCTCGATGTTGGACGAAGAATGTATTGTACCAAAAGCAACCGATATGACTTACGTTCAAAAGCTGAACGATCAACATCTCGGTAAACATCCAAACTTCCAAAAACCTCGACCGCCCAAAGGCAAACAGGCCGATGCCCACTTCGCAATCATTCACTACGCTGGAACTGTAAGTGCTCTGTTCATCTTACTCCTCTCTTCCAACTGATCACAACAGATCAATATCGCATTCAGTAATGATCAACAGACTTTGTCATAACACCTGAAGAAGAAAAAGTTCACTTGCACTGAAGAAATAGATGCTAATTGGAGAGTTTGTAAGAAACTTCGACTGAATGTCGAAAGAAACGCAAAGTGAATGTCGATTGTGCAATCGTTAGATAAGTGAACTGAAAAAATGAATTTAGCAGAGAGTTCAGCTGAATTTTGATGAATTCTGATGGATACCAATGGAATATCTCTAAATTCATATGATGTACGATTGAAAAATCGCTTACAGGTACGCTACAATGCAACCAACTTCTTGGAGAAGAACAAAGACCCGTTGAACGACTCAGCAGTTGCAGTGTTGAAACACTGTCAGAACAATCAACTGATGCTCGAAATTTGGGCCGATTATCAGACACAAGAAGAGGCTGCCGAGGCTGCAAAAGCCGGTATAGGTGAGATAATCACTCGATGATTCATGCATATGCTCTTCAAATGCTTCAATCGCGATGTCTTTTCGCACTCGGATTGATGAAATCATGAGACCATCACTATTTTCGAATGGAAACGAGAAATGTGGTCAACCTAACGAAATGAATAAAACAAAGAATTTCAGAAGGAGGTCGTAAGAAGGGTAAATCGTCATCGTTCATGACTGTATCGATGATCTATCGTGAATCGTTGAACAATCTGATGAATATGCTTTATCAAACACATCCGCACTTCATTCGTTGTATTATTCCCAATGAAAAGAAGGCCGCTGGTTGGTGTTGCCATCTGGATTCATTCATTATCGCATATTCAATATTTCAACATCAACAATTCCTATGATTTTACTATTATGACAGTTTCCAATCAACACTAGCACTAAATCACATCAATTTATGATATTATGCTCAATAATGAATCATAAGATTGACATAATGCAGTTATGAAATATCCTCATATGAGATCATCACTGAATCGTAAGATTGAAACAATACCGTTACGAAATGTGCTCATTTAAGATTACCGAACAATAAGATTAAGATAATACAGTTACGAAATATGGTCATATTCCGTGACTGCATTATCTCTTTCCTATTGTAAGAGATAACGCAGTTATGAAATATACTAACATTATCTCATGAATCGCTCA